AATCCTTCAAGCTAGGCTTCAGCAGTACATGAACTGAGAACTTCCGATGTACAATCTGGATTTAGAAAAGGCAAAGGAATCAGAGCTCAAAACACCAATATATGCTGTATCGTAGAAAAATCAAGGGAATTCCAAAAAACCATATGCTTCTCCTCCTTTGACTGTGTGGATGACCACAAAGTGTGGAATATTCTTAATGAGGTGGGGATGCCAGGCCACCTTACCTGCCTCCTGAGAAATCTATATGTAGGACAGGAAGTAACAAAAAACTGTACATGAAACAACAGACTGGTTCAAAATTGGGAAAGGAGTACATCAAGGCTGTATATTGTCACCCTGCCTATTTAAGTTATATGCAGAATTCAGTCGCTCAGGCGTGTCCAACTCTTTGTGACTCCATGGACTGCAGCATGCCAGGCCACGCTGTCCCCCCCAACTCCTAAAGTTTACTCAGACGCATGTCTGTTGAGTCGGTGATGCATGAAATGCTGGGGTGTATGACTCACAAGCTGGAATCAAGATTCCTGAGAGAAATATCAACAACCNACCACCCCACGGAGAACTTGGCTGCTTCTTTAAGAACCTCCCTTCCTTGCCTTCTGGACAGAACAGATCCTGGACTGTTTTTATTTTTTCAGCACCCCTGCCCTCCCTCCAGACATGAGCGGGATGTTTAGAAAAGCTCAAGATGGCCAGGGGTCTGCTGTGTTGGCCATTGGTCCCCACTTGGAAAGTAGTTCTGATCAATATCAGTGGATCTACTTCTGTGAAGGCTTTGGATAGAGCCCAGGACTCCTGAACCTCTCTCTCTGTCTCTCTCTCATATCTTCATGCCATCAAACCCCCAGCCCTAGTTGCATGTGCAGCCTCTCTTTGTTTTGTATTTTTGTTCTCCCTCTCATCTTCATGCCACTTATGTTTTTTGTTTTTTAGTGTTTATATATTTTAATTTTGGCCTATGGAGGAAATCTCTTGCTATCAAGACCCAATTCCTGCGTTTGTGGGCTGTACCCCATCCCCTCTAACCTTCACCCAGACTTTGCTTCTTTGGCCATTTCCTGTCTTCTGTGCCATTAATTGCTTTATTTCTGTAGGATTATTCCTATTATTACACACACACATTTTTTAAATGTTTCCCATTAAAAATAATAACAAATAAATGAGTCACAACTCTGCCTCCCTTCCTTTTTAAATAACAAAGCCCCTGCCATATCCATTCCTTAGGTTTGGCTTATTTCCCTGCTTTTTTCCTTCAATGCTGAATTTGTTACATACTTGTTCTCATAAACTCAGTTTTCCCACTTCATTATTAACTGTTTACCCTTCTACCATGTTTTATTTTCCTGTTAGGTGATCATATTAATGCATATTGGTTTAAATACCAAAATTAGAGGTATTTAGAAAAATGGATTCACACAATTAAATCTGAGAATATTTTAGAAGAATATAGATCCTAAAAAATGTAGGGGTCTTAAAATATTTCAGTATTGTAGGACTCTAAATGTAACTTAAGTTTTCCTGTAGTACTAAGATTCTTTCACTGGGAATTATTTTCTCAAAGAAATAAACAGCTAATTTTAGTCTTTATAAATGAGTTATTGCTTATGTGTTCTCCTGAATGTTATATGTTCAGTCCTCATTATTTGTTGATTCGGTACTTGCGATGTGCCTAATTGCTAAAATTTATTTGTAATCCCAAAAGTCGTACTTGTGGTGCTTTTGAAGTCATTTATAGAAATATATGCAGAGTGGTAAAAAATTTGAGTGACTTGTTCCCAGCTGAGGCCTAGGTTCCCAGCTGAAGCTTTCTTGTTGTACGTTTCATATTGTAATCAGGTGTCCTTTTTGTGGTCTGACTAGTTCATGTTTTCACATTTTTGCTTTTTTGGTGACTTTGCTATTTAAAATGGCCCCCAAGTATAGTGCTGCAGTGCTTGATGTCGAGTGTTCCTAAGCTCAAGAAGATTATGATGTGCCTTATGGAGAAAATTCACTAGAAATATTCACAGATACCAGGAAAATACTATACTTAAGATTACAGTTATTAGATAAGTTTTGTTCACACCTGGGTTTTATTACTGTTGACCATGAATTTAATATTAATGAATCAACAGTATATATTAAGGTATCTTTAAACAGAAACACACATAAAACAAGTGTTTATACTGATTGATTGAAGATGTTGTGACTGGAGGCTTGTGGGAACCTAACCGTGTATTTCCCCTAGGAGCAATGGTTCAGTGTTCGCGGCGACTTTATAAAGCATAACTACCGCGAACAACGAGAATCGACTGTAAGTTAAAATTCTGGACTTGGACTGAAATTACAGGAAGTGCCTCCTTACCCATGTTAAGCATAGTTTAGGGCATTTCGGTTTGGGATATATATTTTATTTTAAAACCCTTAAGAGAAGAACATTCATTCATTGATCCTTTTTGAGCACTTACTATATGCCAGTAACTGTACTAGTTTTGAAGTATACAGGAACAAGTAAGTTACAAAATCTTTACTCCAAAGATCTGTCAGCTAGAGGAATATTCCATTTTACCCCAGTCAGTCTGATACCAACTGCAGTTCAATTTTGACACTGGCTACCTGGAGTTAGTCGAGATTCCATCGGTTAAAGGCAAAATCCTTCATAAAAATGCATAGGCTTTGGATGCCAACTGCAAGTTCTTGGGATCCCTGAGCCATACTTTTGACAACCAGAATTTCCATGACCCCCTCAGGTTCAGTAATTCTGTATAACAACTAGGAGCAAAGAAACTGCAGTGATTACAGTTTTATTAATATAAAGATTACACATTGGATGAGGTTTGGGAAGGAGCACAGCGTTTCCATGTCCTCTCCCTGCAGAATCAGCATGTCACTCTCCAGGTACTTCAGTATGTTTAACAGCTAGGAAGCTCCTCGGAGCTTTGGTGTCTAGAGATTTTATGGAGTTTCATTACATAGGCATGATTTTAATCATTGGCTGCATGATTGAAACTTAATCTTCAACAGCCTTCCCATTCCTGGAGGTCAGCTGGCTGAAAGTTCCAGTTCTAATTGGGTGGTATTTCTGGTGACCCGCCTCCATCCTGAAGCTATAAGTGGGGCAGTAACCAGGTATAGTCTTTATTATACCACAGAGAGATTGCCTTATAGAGCATCAAAGGTAAATTAAAAGTTTGCCAGTAGTGGCACAGGTATTTCAAGCAGAGGGAAGGATATATGCAAAAATGCCAAGGGATGAAAGAATTTGTGGAATAAATGTCACTTAGTGTAGGTGGAAGGTCATGTGTGAAAGGGTGGTTCTTTTTTTAATTGGAGGATAATTCCTCTACAGTATCATGTTAGTTTCTGCCTACATCAACATGAATCAGCCGTAGGTGCATATGTGTCCCCTCCCTCTTGGACCTCCCACCCATCTCCCGCCCCCAAAAACGGAATTCTTGAGTCTGATGAAGTAGACAGTAGATTGTGAAAGGCTATTAAAATAAGAGGTCACAAACTCTATATTTGGCATTGTAATGTGTATTTTAACTTTAATGCAAATGTTTAAACATATACAAAGAACAGACAGAATGATATCATGAACATATAACAAATATAATGAGCTCCCATGTATTCATTACAATAACTGGTGGCCAGTTTGTTTCATCGGTACTCCCTTCCCCTCTTCCCACCAAAAGTATTTTGTAGCAAATATTATTATTATTATTTCATTCATAGATATTTTGGTGTATATCTCTAAAATATGTGAACTTTTAAAAAGTTACTCTAATCCCATTATCACAGCTAAAAATTTTAACTATTTCTTTATATCACTAAATATTCGGTCGTTACTCACATTGCCAGTTCAGCAATATTTTTAAAACAGCAAATCAGCAGTAGCATTTTTTAAAAATTGAGGTATTTCACTTTAAAAATCTAGATTTTTGTGGTTGAAAAATTGGAATATCTTTCAATACGAGGTGTCTGTTTCTTTTTCACAACAGGACATTGGTTGGTGTCTTTGCTTAGCTGCCTTACTCACTGCTTTACTCTGTGAGGAGTCTTGGAAAGGATTTATGCAGGCATATATGCCTTGATAGGATTTGCATTATGGAAAAAAATAAATGTAGGATTAGAATGCGTTTAGGAGAGAGCCTAGGGGAAAAGAAGAGGAGTTTTGCCATAGTCATCTAGAGAGGAAGATACACTGAACTGAGGTCCTTTCAGGAAGTAGGCAAGTTTGGAACTTGAGGTAAAGAACAGAGGTAAAGAACATAATTAATGCTAATATATGGAAAGGGTGTTTTGAAGGTGAAACCCAAATGTCAAACTTAGGTGGCTGACAGATAGGAAGTTCAGGTGAGACAGGAGATTGCAAATAGCAGATGGGTGCTTGGGAAGGAATAAATGACTTGTCTGGATATTTTGACTGGGTAGTAGAGGTAAATACAATCAGATGTTTTTGAAGCCCTAACCAAAGAGGGTTTGATATGGTTAAGAGTAAAGGGTTTTGTTAATATAGCAATTCACTCTAATTCTTAGATCAAGTTTGAGAATTCTCTAGCTAAATTAAAGGAAGGAAAGAAAGCCTAGACTACTTGTAGTTTGGGGGGCATTCAGAGGACTCTTAAAGACAAATAACAGTTCCTTCTGTGTAAATGAAGGATGGGTAGAGAATTTGAATGTGTTTCTGCAAGCTTGCCTGCAGAGTTCACACTCCATTTATTGTTAAAGTAAGACAATAGGATCTTCCTATATTTTAATAGTGTATCAGTTGTAAGAGAAACACCTACAAACAACATTGTAGAGTCTGGCATCTAGTAAGTGCTTGGTGGGTGTTTGCTGAATTTGAATCTAAACCTTTTAAGGCTGAAGCTGTTGTATCTGTTCACGTTAGAGTTTTTCACCTGATATTTCCCTACAGTGTCTTCCCAATTAGGAAACTCAATAAATGTATGTAGAGTAAGTGAATAATTCTGGTGGTTTTAATTCTTTATTTAAGAAGAATTAAATTTTTTTCTTAGTTTGAGATGGTATCAACACCCTACAGAAGAAGAACTAAGAATTCTTGCAGGAAAGCAGCAAAAAGGGAAAAGCAGAAAAGACAGGTAAGTTATATGGTTGAGTTTGTAAAGTGTTAAAATATTTTACATAATTTATGGAAATATATTTTGGTACTTTGGTTAAAGTAACATATACGGATTATGCTATAAATGGAAAATCTGAAATCAAAATCCATGGTCTAAAATAATATTGACTTGCCATTTAAGAGCACCCAATATGTAGTAATCTAATATGTAACCACAAAGATGAAAATTTTACTTGAAATTGTTAGTGGGGAGTTGAGAGACCCATAACCTGTGTCTTTGCAACTCATTTAAAGATAGCAGTTGGTTTGGGTTCTTTGCCAGATTTTGTTACCACTCAGAAATTGGGCAAATTCATTTGCTTTTTACCTCTGTTTTCTCTTTTTTGTTGTTGTTGTTGTTGTTTTTTTTAATAAAAAGGATGAACAGTATAACTTCTTAGATCCTGTACAGGCTCTTAAATATTATATTTAAAGTTTATGAAGAAAATTGCCTGTAAATAAACCTCACTTAATAGACTCCAGCAGCCTCATCTGTGAAGGAGAAGGACCAAACAGTAATTTTGAAAGATTCTTCCAGCTTTAAAATTTTATGTCCTTATTTATATTGAATCTTCATAGAAAGTACATGTCAGTTAGCCTCTCTAAATGGGCCTTAGTTTCCTTAACTGGGGAGAACTTCTAGGATATGAATCTGTGATTCTGATATATTGTAAAATGTCAGTGACAGCATATTATTACCAATTCCTCATGTATATCATAAAAATTATATTAATGTGGGTGAATGGATTTATAGGAACTGAAAAGTTTTTTTGAACATAATGATTATTTGACATGAAATTGGAAGTTTAAAAAGTCTTGTCTTTTCTGATTTGGCCACCATTTTCTTTTTCACTTACCATTACAAGTACACCTTGTAGGTCATTGGAATAATAAGTTTAAATCCTCCTTCTTTGTATTCCAGTGGTTATATTCTTTAATAAAATATTTCTGTCAAATATTAAAATTTTCAAAGCACTTTTATACAGCTTTAATTCATGCAATAACCCTAAATATTCATTATTAATTTAATTTATATTTTGCTAATAAGAAAGGTGTTGCTTAGAAGTGTTAAATGAGTTGCTCAAGTTCATGTAACTTATTAGGCGTCAGGATTTTAATCCAGGTCAATTTTTAGTTTCTACATTTCTTTTTAACTACTCTGCATTTGCCTTTCACAACTACCATGGTCAACATTTGTGAGCTTAGGTAGTATAGTACTTATTTTGTAAGCATCTGAATTCTTATTATATGCCTTGTAGCCAATAATTTTATTATTTTTATAATAATTTTTATATGTTGAAAATGCTTTACATTTACAAAAAGATACATTAACAATACTATCTTGTTTTAGTAGCAGTAATTATTTGATTTACTGACATGAACTAGAATTTTTATTGGGGTTTTCCCAGTATATACTTATTTAAGAATAAATACAAAGTCATTTCTTGGTATTATAATTATTGTTACTGAAACTTAGTTTATTGCTTTTGATTTATGTTTGATTGTGTTTAAAAATTAAATTTGGAAATAGTACACATGCACCTGAAGAATTCTGTTGTTTTCCTCCACCCATGATTCTTTGTAAAAGCAGCTCTGAGCTGGCCTTGCACATTTCTGAATTTCTCATGCACATAAATCTTCATACATTTTTTCAGTTCTGATTTGTTTATAGCTACAGGTCTGTTTATATGTATGTATGTGTGTACGTGTATAATTTCAAAGTGAAATGCATTTTGTCTTCATTTCCTTTTACTTGTGTGCCTCAGGAAAGAGATGTTAGGGCTGTCTTTAAATCTCCAGAAGAGAGCAGGAAAAATGGGGTGAAATGGTAAGCTAGCAGTCAAGGTTTTGTTTCTGTCACTAGTATAGGTAACTCTTTTCCTGGTAATCTGTATGTTCTCTTAATAATTTACATCCATATTTTGTAGTTCCCCTTTTGAAAACTGCTTTTTAGTGCCTTACCTCTTTTTGATAAAATATTAGAACTTCTGCGTCTTTTTCGCTGTGAAATTTTATAACCTTATTTGTAGTTAGTTTGATACAAACACTTGAATAACAGTGAGGGTAACTTGTTTTTTGTGTCACTTGTCTGATTTTTATAGGAAATATAATGGTCACATTGAAAGTAAGCCACTAACCATTCCAAAGGATATTGATCTCCATCTAGAAACAAAGTCAGTTACAGAAGTGGATACTTTAGGTAAGGGAAATCTGGGTAAAGTGTTCTGTAAATCTCAGTTTTATATTATGCTAGTGAAAGTACTTGAATTTATCTTTTGTTGTTAGATTCTTTTGTTTTCCTGATCATTAAGTCCATTATACAGACTATGAAATCTTTCTCAAAGCTAAGAAGCTCAAAATTACTTCATCTGAATTGAATTTGTTTTTCTATCCACCTGACTTATAGTAAGCCTTATTTTTCCCCATTTTTCAGAAGAGGCTGTCTTATGCAAATTTGTTACACAGTTTTTGTATATGCTGAGATTACAGTTTTTACTATCTCAAATTCTAAGTTGCCATCTGTATCAGTTTACATGTTTTATAATGTTGCTTGTAGAAATGCATCTATATGTTTGTATTAAACTACCTATATTTAAAGCAGTTCAACTTTATGTTATATTTAGTAAAAAGGAAAATGGTTTTAGAGTGATGAATTGGATTAGAAATAGAAAATTTTACTTATTCAAGATTTTATTGGATATCCCTGAATAAGTCAATTTTCCCCCTGTATATTAGTGTTTAAAATTATATAATAACTATAATGATTTTAAATTTAAAGTGAAATTTATATGAAATTATTCAAATCCTAGAAGAGAAAAGCATTTAAGGTGATATTGTTTAGAACACTAGTTTTCAGACCTGGCTGTATATCAGAACCACTTAAGCAGCTCTTTAAAGATAAAGATTCTCTTATACCTACCCTTGATGAGTCAGTAAATCTAGAGTGGTTTCTGAGAATTTGTATTTTTTAAAATGTTCTGCATGGTTCTGATATTTTGACTAGGTTTAAGAACTACAGTTTTACATGATAAGTAAGAAATTAAAATGACATTTAAAAAGTAATTTTGATAATGTTGTGTAATGTATCATTATGTAATTTGGTCCTTCTTGGATTGAATCACACCACTACACAAAAATGTTAATAGAGTCACTTCACATCTCATAAAGAATTACTTTGTGAAACAAGGTGGCTTCAATACATTTGAAAGTTGATGCTACATTTACAAGATTGTATGTATGTGTGTGTATATATATATATATATATGGAAAGGGAATTCCTACAAAGTGTCAGTGATGAACAATATACATTAGTTGTCTAGTGTTATTCAGACTATTGAGACTGGTTACCTCATCCCCCCTTTTTTTCTTTTTAACTATTTTTCATGCAAAATTTAAAACGTGTAAAAGCAGTTGAATTTTTTGATTAGTTATCCCATTCGTTTTGTTAATCTGATAGGTGTGGGTACTTGTACAAGAATACTTAATACACGTTTCCTGATTTCTAAAACAAAATTTTGCTCTTCTTACTAATAACTGATGTTTAATGGATAATTTCAGCTAATCAACCTTAATAATAGTTTAAATTGACTACTTATCAGACATTGTTTTAAGTGCTTTATTTGTATTATGTTGCCCTCACAGTTCTATGAGGTATGTAACTATTACTGACTTTTTTTCAACTTGTTAGATAGAGAAGTTAAATAACTCTGAATGTGGTAGAGACATTTAGCGAGAGTTAGGCTACTTAATGAACGTGAAAAATTGAAGTTAGGGGTAATGTGGCTTCAGCTTATTCAGTATTTTGTTTTACAATTTTGAGCCAAAGTTTGCAAATTGTGCTTGTTAAATAACTGATCATGTAACAACAAGATTATTCTAGTTAATCAGAATAACAGAGAGATGTTATTTATGTTTATATTTATGTAATCATTTGTGAATGCATGCTCTGTGTCTGTTTAGGTAAAAGTAGAGGGTTTTCTACCTGACCTTTAGGTGCTCTCAGGAGGCTAATACAAATCACTGGTATTGATGAATTCTCAGTTTTTAGTGCAATATTCTATTGAGAGGCATGTATATAATTACATTATTGAATACAGAAAGAAGAATGTAATACTTGAGTTATATATAGAACCAAGAATATATATAATTTATTCTTTTATTGAATGTATGTATTATTGATAGACCAATAACTTTCTTAAAAGTCTTTCAGTTTGTATTAGCTATCTGTTAGACAAGTCTCTTGAAGAACATAAGAACATTTGAATGTCTCCTGTCTGTTTGCTGTGAATGAGTTCCCTGGGGGAAGCCTGTGTGAATGTGGGCAGGCATGGAGAATTAGAGCATTTACTTTAACTTTTGTTAGTATAAACTGAAATAACTTTAGATAAACAGGTATTTGTCTATCTGTTTCAACCATTTCTCTGCTGTCCTTCCAGAAAGTTATTTAAAAAGTTCAACTGAATGACTCTACAAGGGAGGAGAGGGTTCTGCAGAGTAGGATTTCTTCAACTCCTTTAGGGTAAATCTTTCAGACTGATGTTGAAAAGTTATTAGGTCTATTATAACAAAAAACCTAAAGCAGTTAAAATAGCTTGAAGGCAAAATAAGTGTGTTACATTGACATGAATAAAGAATATACCTTATTATGAAAGGAATTGGAAGTTTTGCTGTCACCTTGTAAAGATTTAAGTTTGGTTAGTTTATTTTCATATTTTAAATAAGTCTTATTTTGAGTGGTATTTTATTTTTAAAAGCCATTTAAAAAAAAAAAATTCTGATTTTAAAATATCCTCAGGTGTTACATTTTACAACTAAAATTTTCCCAGAGTAATATAGATCATTTTATTATGTGCCAGTGAGAACATAGGAAATGGTGTTCTGGTACATGATATATTTCCGCATTTCTAGAAGGTCTTTTGCAAATTGATGTTGATCTTTGAGACTATTCTCTGGCAGAAATAAACCAGAATATCCAAGAAAAGGGAATGGAATTAACATTTGAGACAATGTTAATTTTAATGTCAACCCTTAAGGATGGAAGTTTGTTGAAGGAGTATGGTTTTATGGAGAATTGACAGGCATTTCTTGAACTTTTCTTCTAGAGAATAAAAAGTATATTTTCTTAATTTACTATTTTAGCCTGCAGTAACTCACAAAATTACTAATCCTCCGTTAGTAAGGTTAGTAATCTGTGACTTGAACTCCAACTCTCTTGTTTCACAGAAATGAATATAAGTAAATCTGTATAGTACTCTATCAAGTTATATTCTAAAGCTAAAATATTATTGCTCAGATTCTTTATTTTTTTAAGTAATGATTTACAATTTCTGTGAAAGCTAATCATTTAAAAAAATACCAACTCATTTTGCAATCAAATTTTTAACAACCATTTAAATAACTTTTGTTAATCATTTCAGTTTTATTATTTAATTTACAATGTATTGACGTTTTGTTTTGGATGCCAATATTCTCAGTCTGTTTCTCACATTTTTAGATTCTCATATTCACACACCTTACATGGCAAATCATCAAACAATAAAATCTCACATTTGAAGTTAATTATAGATAAATCTTCCTAAAGCTGTTTTTCAGTTTTAGTAAAACTTTCTTTTTTAAACCTTTGTTTTTCAGCATTGCATTACTTCCCAGAATACCAGTGGCTGGTGGATTTCACAGTGGCTGCTACAGTTGTCTATCTAGTAACTGAAGTCTACTACAGTTTTATGAAGCCCACACAGGAAATGAATATCAGCTTAGTCTGGTGCCTGCTTGTTTTGTCTTTTGCAATGTATCCTTCAAAACATCATTAATATTAATTTATGAATTTGTTTTCCTTTTACAGCTAACGCTATTAGATCTCGTCTCTGATTTAGAAAGGATTTTAGATTATTAGAGAATGTTTCTTTGTTGAAATCCTCTTTATATACTTGAAAAAAATTTTTTTAATGGAGGTAGATAGTTTAGAAGGTGAAATACAAGGAAAGAAAGCAATTCCCTGCCTTTCCTTTCCCGTCTGACTCATGTCACAGAGGGAGCCCCTTCTACCTTTTTTGCAGATTTTTTTTTTACCCTTTTTTTTCTTACCCTTCTTTGCAGATTTCCTTCCTCATGTTTAAATAATACATGATAAAATGGTGTTTTTTAAATTTTAAATATTATTGCACCTTTCTCCTTTGCTTTCCTCCTTCCTTTGTTTCTTTCTAAATATGGAGACAATTTTTTTTTTTAAGAAATCAGAAAATATACTTTATTTGGACTTAAAAATTTTGCCCAATAGTTATTTTAAATGCATGAGCTTTTGCGCGCGTGCACACACGTACACACACACACACACACACACACACGAGAAGTTATCATTCTGATAGTGGTGCTTGGGAAATTTGTTGCTTGTGCTTGGGACATTGATATAGAAGAAGAAATTAGGAAGTCAAATGAACAAAATAGAGGAAAAGTATGGTCATTTCTTGACTCTGGGATTGTTGAAGTTAGTGTCTGAGGATATTTGGCATGATTGGACCTGCTAAAAACTTTTAATAAATTTTTTAGTTTTCAATAAAACCTAGGTTTACTGATAACACTGAGGACTTCACAATACTTGGATTCCTAACATGTTCTAAGAATAAGAAGTTGGGCAGATTGATAATGTCATGTAGCTTGGTTTCTTGGTCATATTAATATGACTCCTCTCAGACCAAGATATGCATCAGAGTTAACATAATACATTTTTCTTTTTTTTTTTTATTAGAGGATAATCAGTTTACAATGTTGTGTTGCTTTCTGCCATATAGGAATATGAATCAGCCATAAGTATGCATATGTCCCCTTCCTCTTGAACTTCCCTCCCACTCCCCGTCCCTCTAGATTATCACAGAGTACTGGGTGGAGCTCCCTGTGTTATCCAGCAACTTCCCATTAGCTGTCTGTTTTACATGTGGTAATGTACGTGCTTCTGTGCTGCCCTGTCAATCCGTCCCACCCTGGGAGACAACTTTTTACTTAAATCAGTAGTTGCTTTCAGTTACACTGATGAAAATATTATTTATAGTTAAACATTGTAGTATCTTATTATCCTCCTCGAACAACTTTCTATTCTTATTGTATAGAATTTAAACTCTGTAGAATTCTAAGCCTTAGTGGTTCAGATACATCTCTTCTTTTTTTTTTTTAAATTGAAGTATAGCTGATCTGCAGTATTATATTAGTTTCATATTTATAGCATAGTGATTCAGTATTTTTACAGATTATACTCCATTAAAAGTTATTATAAGGTGATGGCTCTGATTCCCTGTGCCATGTGATATATCCTTAGGTTAGTTAGATTAGCGTTAGTCACTCAGTCGTGTCCAACTGTTTGCGAATCCCTGGATTGTAGCCTATCGGGCTCCTCTGTTGATGAAATTCTCCAGGCAAGAATACTGGAGTGGGTTGCCATTCCCCTCTCCAGTGGATCTTCCCAACCCAGGGATTGCCTGCACTGCAGGCAGATTCTTTACTGCCTCAGCCACCAGGGAAGCCCAGAGGGTGAAAGGCGCCCCTGAGCGGGCTTGAACTGTGTTCGCTTAACAGTTGTATCCTCCTTATCTATCTTATTCGTAATAGTTGCTTGTACCTCTTAATCCCATGCCTCTAATTTTCTCCCCCTCTTCTCTCCCCTTTCATAACCACTAGTTTGTCTTCTGTATGTGTTTTTTTGGGTTTTTTTTTTGGCCATGCTGCATGGCATGCAGGGTCTTAGTTCCCTGACCAGGACTCCCTACAGTGTTGAAAAGAAACTCTGGTTAGTGAGATGTTAGATTTCTTTGAATGATTCTTTGACTTTTATCTCTCCCTTTCCATTTATTTTATACAGTTTTCTTGATTTCTCTCTTACTTTTCTCTTTACCCTTTTGTTAAATTTTTATGTCAACTTAAAAAAAAGTTAAGACTTCTTTGAAAGCTCCATTTTCATAGCAGTTGTGTCTCATGGTTGTGTAATATCTTTTAAAGAACATTAATAGCTTTTATGCTTAAATTTGCATGTTGCATTCTTTATTTTCTGAGTCTCCCTCTTCCTCCCTTTTTGTTTTAATCACTGTCATGTTCAAGATTGTTCTGGAATGTCTTATGGTCTTTGAGTATCCATTTATATTCGGAAGGAGGGGTTAAAAATTGGAAGTTTCTTGCAGGTAGCTGGAGCTTGTTGACTGGTAGGCTTTTTAGTGGCTAATTGAGCGAAGGTCTGGCACTGTCCCATGTGTGGGATCTAAGCCTGACAACTAGTGTTATGAGAGCTGATTGGGGAAGGCTCAGAGACTCAACATTCAGTGTGCAGGCATTGATTTAAATGCATGTCTGGGTCCTCCCCCTGCTCCTGTTCTCAGCTCTTCATTGTCACCTGAAGTTTCACCTAATACCCCCAAGCCCAGTCTTTTCTGGTTTAATATCTTTCAAATTTAATTCTTCTGGGTTCTGCCAAAACTGGGGGAAAGCCATCACTTAATCTCTGTAAGTCGGCAAAACAGAAGATCTGGAAAGTCTAATTATACTAATGCAGTCATTCAACCAACCGTCTTGTTTTCCTATGTTTTGCAACCGTGCGTTTGGAGGCCCGCGCTGGCTCTAGTTCCTGACTTTTGCACCGTGTTTTATAAACGAATTGCCTTTTTTCTCACTGGGTTCCAGGCCTTGTACATCTCACATAGTGAGAAAATTGAAGCCTGAATTAGTTACTACTTGTGTGTTTACTTAATGTCTTCCAAAATTTGTTGTGATTTTTTTCTACTGTCATTTATTTTCCTATTCTTTGTTTTGGGGAGTTCTCGTTTCTTCCTTGTGTGGTTTATTTAGTCAGAGTTGGGGAGTAAGAGAATTAATAGATGTTTTCCATCTTTTATTTCAGCCAGTGGCCACTGAACTGTCTTTTAAACTTGTTATGGGATACCATTTAAAATACATGATGCGATTTGATATTTAGCACCACTGTGTTATCCTTCTGTTGACTCTTTTGGATTGATTTAGGTATAATTTAGAATAGAATAGCCAGAACAAAGCCTTAAGAGTTGATATCTTCACAAGATTTATATTGTACTGGGTATAAATACTGATCATGTGTGTTAGTTGAATAAGACCCCCAGATATTCAGTAGTATACTTATTGAAGAGCAGATTAAATTCAAGGGTTTACAATATTACTATTTAGCTCTATAGTATTAAATAAGTGAAAAATCATTTAGTCAGAATGAACAGCATCCTTAGACATCGTCATATTAAACATAGTGAAAATATTATAACTTGATAATTAGCACTAGCTGAATATGTCATTACTTTTTGCATACTGTGAGTTTTTATGTTCTCTGAAACATTGTTTATTATGAAATATTCTTGGTTTTGTTTCATTCTTTGTTTTGTAGCTATGACAGATTTATGTAAAAATGCATATCGTGATACCCAGTTTTATTTAATGTGATAGAGCCTTTAATGTCTACTTACCAGAAAAATTAGAAAAATGTACTTCTTAATAGCTATTCAAAGTATTGTTTATGTGAATAAATTTTTTACCTTTCATTTCACTCAGTAATGCCTGATAATGTGAGAGCAAAGGTCCTAAGCAGTCTTCAGCACTGAACTGGCTCTACTCAGTTTGAAGTAGTGCACTTGTAGAAGGCACCAAACAATAGCATCCCTGCAGGGATCTAGTCGCTGGCTGTCTCTCCATCCCAGGGAGGACAGAAAGTGGTGAAGGGCTTTGTAATCCAGGCTATTTTCTGCCAACTTTGACCCTCCTCAAAGCGAGTAGGGAAGAAGAAGGAAAGTAGAATTGTGTATATGCTTGGGTACATGATTTTCTTTCGAACGTGTAGCATGTGAGAAAATGACCTTCAGTGGCATGCAGGAAACCAGAATTAAATGCCTGATATCCAGATTAACTCCAAAGACGAGTCTGTTAATAGCCTTTTATCTTAGTTATAACATATCTGGTATGCCTTTCACACCCTATGAACAGTCTAGCTGCAGTGACCTCTGTCTGGCTTCTCTTTATTTTCTTATTGTATGTGCCTACTTATTAGTCAAACACATGTCTCCATTGATTACATAGGACAATGGCTCCACTTAATTCCAGAGTCACACATACATCAGTCGATTCAGAAATTCTCTGCAGTTGTTACTGATGAAATAGCCTTTGTTAAAATGGTCCGCAAATTAGACACATATAACTTAAATAATTGGTTCACTTCAAAGTGAGGAAGAAAACTGTCTTACTTTTGTGCTCATATCCCTTCTCATCAGTTTTTATTTGACATTCTTGTGTTAGACAACAATTATAATATTTACAGAATCTTGAAAGTTTTGAAAAACACAAGAATGATTTTTTAAAACATGTGACACTCAAATCTTGAACCCTGGAACTTAAAACTGGTTCATCTCTTGTTGTCAGCTCTGCTTTCTTCTTCAACTGAGGTGTACATGTATCTAAGCTATCACACCTGCTTCCAGTCTTACTCTAAAACCCATATTAATTCTCAGCTCTACTCTCTTGCCAATTTGTAATTCTAACCACAATTTGTCCAAGTCTGTATGTTCTACTTCCATTTATGCCAAGTTTTTGTTAACATAGATGATAAGGGGTAAAGAAAGCCTTATAATGAGGATGGAGCAGTTTTAGTAACTGTCTTTCCTATATGATGACCCATGAAGTTTTGGTCACTGGAGAAATGTCCACTGATTTCATAATATGAAGCATATATTTTCATTTAAGAATAAGAGAAAAATATAAAGGTAAAAATGGTGCTTGCAAAATTCAGAGATCGTT